CCCCCCCACCCACACACACACAAGACCTTCAACTCCAGCTAATGAGCATGTGAAACATTCACATACATCCTACACAATGCTGAAAACGCTTGCGATATGTGATAGCATTCTAACTATATTAACATACTTCTTCACTGTGTCCTAAATTTCTTCAATAAAAGTTGCTCCAAGTAGCAGTTTTTAACTCCTTTTTTCTTTTTAAACTAGGTGATACGGGTTCAAAAATCCTGGACCACCTATCAATGTCTTCCATCTCAAGCAAAAAGTAACATCTGCCAGAACTAGTAATACAGCAAGAATGGGAAAGAAATCTGACACCCAAACCAAGTCCTTGACAGTCGCAAAGAAAAGAAATCAGTTTGATTCCCATATAAATGAGACTTTGCTGAAGAAATATTCCAACGAAGACCTATACTGATTTTAGGACAATGATAAGCTATCTGTTTAGTAGCTAACAGAAACTACTAGCATAGCAAATTGAACATTTGATGCACACTGCATTAACGAAATATGCTTGACCTGAATGCTTGAGAAGACTGTACGTTCAATTGTGAAACTCAAATAGAAACCAGGAAAAAATTGCAAGTAATAACAGCCTGCTTACCACTATTGCGGAGGAACAGCCGCGTTTCACCGTCATAAAGGGTTCCCTTCGCTCGATTGTAAGCAAAGAAAGCCTCGCATAAGTCATCTTGACCCTGTGTTCATTAGATAACTATGGCATCAAAGATTTGGCATGACTGCATCATGATAAGCAAATATCGTCAGTTTCATAAAGAAACAAATCTAACTATTGTCACCTTAGAGCAGAAGAAACAGCTACCACAAGGCATAATGAAAGCTCCAACAACTTGAGATCCCATGGGATATCTGAAAAATTATACAAAAGCTGCTCATCATTGACTCGCAGAGAACAATAGAACACAGCACTTTTCAAGAAGATGTAATTGTTTTAACCTTTCAATGATTTTAGTGTCTGTGAGCTGCCCATGTTCAACCACTTCACCAGTAATCTCATGCCCAACAACACAAGGGCTAGCAAATGGAAGTTCACCTTTCATTACATGCAAGTCAGAGTGGCAGACACCACAGGCTGCACTTCAAAAGCACAACACAGTATCTTTAATCATGGATTTAAGTAATATAAACTACAGAGTAAAGATTTGTTTGTACTATCAGTATCTTTTAGCCTGATATAGTAGGTTAGTTACCAGGCTTGTCATGAACTTTACTATCATATCCTTAAAAGATAGAACTCGCATATGAAATCAAACCATATAGGAGAAAACTTGTAACGCAGTTCAAAAAGACACCTTTTTTTTTGGGGGGG